AAACTTTCTTATCAAGATCATCAAAAAACTTGACTGTACAATAATTTATTCAGTGGAAACCAAAACAGAAATGATCAAACAATCAGATGTTCTTCATCTGGATTTCAAACTGTTTCTTCACTTACATTAACATCTATAATGATGAGTTGAACCACTAGATACAGTTTAAACGTCGTTACTTTTCAAGTGCAAATTCAGTCACACAGGTATCACTGCTCAGCTGTATCACTTCACTTACTGACAGATACACTGACCACTGTGTTGAAAGTAGTGCCAGTTGTCCTTTCACTATTAATATGGAAATACTGTATTCTTTTTCCAAATTCATAACAATAAGCAACATTTTTAAAACACTCATATTTATCTTTACTTCAGTTTTACATGAAAGTGAATTGTATTTAATCACAACAACAGCCATTATTGTAGACAGCATTTTAAAATGAACTAATCTAAGCATTTTTACATTAAGATTAAAGTTTTATATTTTCTTCACTTCCAAGTTGATTATATTTGATTTTGACAGGACTGTGTGAGGAACAGTTTAGTTAAGCTGCTCTGAGTTAGCCTCCATGGTAAAGGAAGAGAAATAAAAACATGAACAATAAAAGTTTTATAATTAAAAGATAAGATATATTTATCTGCCTTAAACATTGAAAAGTTGAATTTAAAGCAGGACTTGATAATATTGCATTTAGTATTTGAGAAGAAACTTACTTCCAACATCCAGTCTGGTTCCTCCACCAAAAGTCAACCACAGTGATACAAACTCATTGAGCCGCCGTACAAAAACCTCTCACTGTAGAGAGACACGGCTCTCTGACTTTGACACAAACAAACTCAACAAAAATAGTTTCTGTTTGTAACATTTTATCAGCTGACATGTGAAAATAAGACTGTTTTAATTTGATATGTTAATTTTAGGGCTGCCTTAACATATTATCACGTTAAAGCATTCATTAATTAACGGCGACAGTTTTTTAAATTATTATTTTGAAAGTCCGTTGCTCACTGGCTCTGAATACACATAGGACTACAATCAAACCATGGGTCACAGGAGAGGTGGGATGTTGATCAGCCTGCAAAATAACCCAAACAAGCAGCGGAGAGGCTTCGGCAGGTTCTCAGGTGAACAGACAGGGAGACAGCTCTCTGCGAGTGAACGGCCGGCGCTCTATGGATAGTAACCATGGCAACGGCTTCTGTGCGCTACACAGCCGCAGCCTTTAACATAAATTAAAATTGTACACAGACTAACTTTACCTGATAGGCCTGCATTTAGTTTTGCGGGGATGCTCTGCCATGTGAATTCCCTCCTGTTGATGTCCTGATAACTATTTAGATTCTGGAAACTCACAAACAGCGAGGATCAGTCTCTCTTACAATGATTGTGCTGTGCGTCTCGTACAAAAAGTTCAAGACAACTCAACTTTGGCAGCAGGCGGGCGTGTGCGTGAGGCGAGCACAACCACGACAGTTTCACGGGAACCCCAGTACACCTTGTGCTCGACCACTTCACCTCACTGTAACAGGGACACTTTCTACTGAACATAGACTGTTTCTATGTTCCCAATCCCAAGAAAACTGGACTCTGATGGTAACTTGTTTTAACAAGCTAGATAAAAGGTAATTCCCTGGCAGTGGTAAATAGCTGTGGTTTAATATTTGATTTGATTACATTAATGTTTAAGTTGAGATTTACAAGAAATATTTTATTGCTGCTGTGTAAAGGGAATACTGCTGGTACATTTTTTTTCTCTAGCAATTAACTGAAATAACTCATAACATATTTTAAACAAGAGTTTTTTAAAAATGTCTTATCAATACTCAGGTAAATTGATTGATCCATTGATAAACAGCATCATCAGAGTAATCCAAGTCCCTGCTGGAGTCAGTCAGAGCATTTCCATAGAGAGCCACTTTGCATCAGCAGCACCATGCTCCAGTGCTCTGGGAGACTTTATAGTCCTGAGAGTTGAACACTGGATGACTGACAGCTGTCCTTCATGACAACAGAAGCCACAGAAATCCTCCTCATCAAAAACATGACTTTGATCTGCGTCCTCATCTGGACTCTCCTCTGCTGCTGCTTCACAGGTAAAGTCCAGAGAATCAAACTCCTCTCCTCTATGAACATCCGTCCCTCTGAAATGAAGCCCACAAAACCATGACGCTGCTTTATGTTTTTGTCTCTGTATCCTCAGAGTCCAGAGGCCAGGTCACAGTGACTCAGCCTGGAGCAGTGAGCTCTGCTCTGGGAGGCTCCGTCTCCATCAGATGTAGGTCCAGTCAGGATGTTCATGTTTGGAGCAACAACCACCTTTTAGCCTGGTACCAACAGAGAGATGGAGAAACTCCTAAAGTCCTCATTTACTATGCTAGCAGTCGAGAATCAGGGATTCCAGATCGTTTTACAGGCAGTGGATCAAACTCTGACTTCACTCTGACCATCAGTGGAGTCCAGACTGAAGATGCAGCAGTTTACTACTGTCTGAGTAATCACTATATCAACAGTCAGTGGTTGTTCACACAGTGGAAAAGCGTCGTACAAAAACCTCCCTCAGTCAGACTGAACAGAAACTGAACTGACTGCTGCAGCTGGAAGCTACTGCAGAGACTGATACACTTCACTGAGGACACACACACACACACACACACAAAACACACACATGTCATCTATGAGGTTCAAGATTTCACAACTTTTGCTTTAACTACCAATGAATATGTAGCAAAATAATATTACAAAAAAATATGAAATCAAATTACTTTGTCCATCACAGCTTCTCACCATCTATTCATGTCTTTTTATAATCCCACTCTCTTTTCTGATTTGCCAAATAATCCAGAGTAGCCAGCCTGGGAAAGCAGATAAGAAAAGTCTTTGACCTCAAACTCATACTGGATTAGCAATTTCAACTATGTACATTTAATTGAAAATATGAAGACACAGATCGTCATCAAAAACATTCAGGATCAGAGACTGTCCAAACAAAATCAATACATCCCTGAAAGCACAAAAAAGTGTTTTAAATATATAAACGCCCTCGCAAAACGCAAAAAAAAAAAAAACTCCCCACAACATCCATCCACTAACTGTTGTGGAGCTTTCAATCACATCACATGATCTTTCTTAGCAGATGGAGTCATTTTGATGGAAATGTAGATTTTTAAATTCCTGCATCTTTAGGACTTCATGTCCACTTTGGCCCTGCGATGGACTGGCGACCTGTCCAGGTTGTACCCTGCCTTTCGCCCGATGTCAGCTGGGATTGGCTCCAGCCCCCGCGACCCTGTACGCAGGATAAGGTTGATGATGGATGGATGTCCACTCATGGCGTTATGTAAACTGAGGTCCAGGAACAGGACCACGCCTCCCTCTTCCCCTTCACTGATTAAACCACATCAGTGTCCCATCACACACACCTGCTAATCCAATCACCACCACATACATAAGATCGCCCAAACTCTCTCTCCCATTAGCTGCTCCACAAGCGAGCCTCTACAGAGACGAGTCCCCACCCTGAGTCTCGCCGCCGGTCTCGGTTCTCAGTAGCACTATACGACCCTCTCCCATCCACCTTCCCTCGACCCCTTTCATCCCTTCCCTCTTGACCCCTCCTCGTAAACATGATCACATAAACCACCTCTAACTTGGTGCGGTCCTGTTAGTGAACGGCTTCAAAGTTAAAATATTCCATGAACTCCATCTGCTGAGGAAGATCATGTCATTAAAACAGTAATGTAGCTGATGATGACTTCCATGTTTTCTGGTTGGAGTTTCTCGAGGAAGCTCTCTGAGATCGTCAGCATCAGCATCCCCTCAAACACCCAACACTACTTTACTTAAAGAACTTTCCATATTACAGACACCTAAAGATGTCAAACCTACATTGATATTAATGTCACTAATCATGGTCTAAAACACCATATTACCATATTACATGTAGGGGAAGTTTTCAGTATCGTCTACATGTAAATATGTAAATATGTAGATCAACGCTCTCAGCACTGAGGGGGAAACACCATGATATGTTGAGGACAGCTACAGCTCACTGACTCTGTGTGTTTGCATATGTGTCCTGCCTCTCTGCTCCCAGCCGTTAAGAGGCCAGTGTTGATCAGTGGCTGTCCAGGCCTTTCAGAGCCACTGACACGCCGGCAGCACAATGATGATGTCACTGATTCTACTGCTGGCCACCCTGGGGCTCCTTGTTCAGGGTGAGACTCTCTTCTGAAAACTTTGCTTCAGGATGCAACCAGGTTCACCACAATGATGTTCTGCTGTGATGGAGAAACACTGAAATAAGCAGCATTTACCTTCTTCCATCTGTTCAGTGGGAGTCAGTCTGGAGTCTGAAGTCCAGGCTGAAGAGTTTATTACCAGGGTGGTCACAGCTTCCCATTCATACAGTGATACAACGTCGTACAAAAACTTCCCTCAGCTGGAGAGGAACTGATCTGACTCACCAGCTGCACAGAAACCATAACACTAGATATTTCAAATACATAACCACACTGTAATGTAATGTATGTAAATGTACTTTAATTAGAATGAAACTCATGCAGTTAAAAGTTGTAAAGTTACATTTTACTGAAACACACTGAGAGGTTACAATAATAAGAAATGTCATTTTGTAAGTTTTCCTTTGTTTTAGGTGAGTATTTTATTTAAATTCAATGCACCTCCATGTGGATTTGTAAAATGTGAAATCACTTTCATATTTTGTTAATTTGATATATTCTGTGTTGTTGTTTTTTGCTAATGAGTCTTCTCATCATAAAGCCTAAAATATTTTTTGTTTAAACTTTGGTAGATGTATTGACAGGACTGAGTATTGTCTTCATGCAAATAAAACACTGATGAAATAGGTGTGATGGAAATTTGATATTTTTTTATATATTTTGAAATTTGATAGGGCATGCAAGCTGAAGATTTATACAAAGTGGACAAAGGGGAGAAAATAGCCATCAAAAGGGGCTGAAGAACTCTGTATTAACCAATCACAGTACGAGAAAACGGACAGTAGGTGAGACCGGTGGACAAAAATGGACATTGGTACACAGAGATTGTCTGGACAGATACAAAACAGATCCAAATGGACTGAGCTGGAGGGGGCGGGACGGACGCTAGTGACAGGAAACAACTGGGACACACACACACACTGGGTGAGTCACAATTTCTCACAGAAAAATAAAATCTTAAGCACATTGAAGGTAAAAAAACAAAGTAATACTATATTAATTTATTAGTAAATGCTGATGAGCTTGAACAGCCTACATTGGTGATGAATGATAACCACAAAGAGTTTAGGAAACTGCCAAAGTATCTGTTAGTAAATTTAACCCCAGCAGGGGGATAATATTGCTACATGATATGTTGAAAACAGCCCAACAGAGCGGCAGGTATTGCATATAAGGTATCATAATAATGAATTTTGATGACATAGTTGTTAAACACTTATTTCAGTTATCAGAGCACTGAATGAGTGACCCCCATGTCACACACACACACACACACACACTAAGAGACCTTTGGATACATGCACATAGACTCATTACACTGCACAGTACACAGTTCTGATGGACAGGATGCAACAATTTTTAATTATTTATGGAACAGGGACAGTGAAAAAAGAGAGAGAGAGAATTATTTCAATATCTGGATCAAGGAGCTCTGCGCTGTTGTTTTGTTTCTTTTTCTCCTTCTCTGATCTTAGCAGTACCAAGGGGGACATATACACATGGCGAAGCAAAGTGATTTGGAAACAGATGGATTTGGGGATGCAAGTCCGCCCGGAGTTGGCTGACTGACAACAGGCCCATAAGTTGGAATTTGAGTACACTGGTTAAAACATTAAACTTTTGAACTATGGTGGCCTGTAGGTTTCAGGCCTAATACAAAAGCCACAACACGAACACAAAAAGCCAAAACACGAACACAAAAGCCACAACACGAACAAAAAAGCGACAATGGAAGTTGACAAGTAACAGTGGATTACTGTCTGCAGAACACAGCTACACAGTAGTACAGTGACTATGTAGCTGTTCCACATTCAAGAGGTCCGGGTTCAAATTTTAGGAAGAACTTTCTTCTTCCTGTGACTTTTTCCCGCATAATAGTGTCTGCCAAATTAGTAAATGTAGGCCTACGTGGAAGAAGAACTTCTTACCCGTTTGATAAATAAGTAATACTTCTGTTCTGGTCAAATAATATACAGCGGGATATTTGTGTGAATTAAACAGCTGTCTGTGCAGATTAGCATCATAAACAAAAAGCAAGGAGTCTCAGGTTACCATGGAGATGACTTTATACTTATACAAAGGGGGTGCGGAGGTGCTGCAGCACCCCCTATTCATAGTTTTGACGTGACATCACATTCCATGAAAAACACTCCCTTGGAGGACAAAAAAGACGTTATTTTCCACTGCCAGGAAGCAAGTGATCCACTGTTACTATGAGTTTTTTACTTTTGCATTGCCAAAATGCTGGATGGTAGTTGTACTTTCTGATGCACAAATCGAGGAAGAGACAAGCCTGAGCTGTGTTAGGTGAGGGGCTCCCCACAAGATAAACGTAAACATTACCGCAGTCGAGCGGCGGCAGGGAAAGTTGTGCTATTGTGAGTTTTCGTCGATGGGCGTGTCCGTAGCGTGGCGTGAAAGATCAACTCTTCGCCATGACACAGGAAGTTGTTGTAACTTCAGTTTACATGCTCACATCTGAACAAAACTTTACGTGCTTGATAACTGTTCCACCCCGAAGACATCCACACGCCAATATTAATTTATATTCATAGCGCCAAGTGCTATGTAGTGCTACAAAGGGGACACAGGAAGTGACATAAAACACCTTCATTCAGCGTCAGAAGCGCGTAGCAAATTCACCGCTGCACCGGCAGAGATCCAGAATATGCAACATGGCCCCCTCACACACATACACGCTACACGTGCGAGGGCCCGCCCAACGCTGCTTGCAGCTTTAATTGTATTTGTGTTGTGGTGTTTGTATTCGTGTTGTGGCTTTTGTATTAGGCCTGAAACCTACAGGCCACCGTAGTGACCTCATGTCTGAGGTGCAAATTGAATGAGAGTCTATAGCTATAGTATATATAACATTTACTAAAAAAAAGAAGCGCTTGGAAATATTAAACATGTTTTCTTTTTGTTCACTGCTGCAGGCTGGAGTGACCTGTACGCACCCACATTTTCAAAAAGATTGTGATGAAGGCCAACCAACAGAGCAACAAAGTGGTGGTAAATGCATTAGTGCACCAGTGAGCACTGCAGGTTTCACAGCTTTACATCAAAGACTACACATTTCTCTGTTGGTGATTTGGCAAAGGTCTGTTTTTAAAATTTTATATTTCCCACGCGGCTGGTCGGTTTCCGTTCTGCAGTCCATCACACACAGCATGCTGAGATGACCATTGTGTTGCTAAAGCGGTTCGCCCACAATGGCCTCACACAAGGTTAGTCTGTCTGTCTCTAATTGCAATTCGAATAGACAGAAATAACTTATCTGGGAATGCGATCACAATGAGAGTAAAGCTCTCTCTCCCAAGAGATCCTATTACTAAAAAAGGATGAACAGAGAGATAAATCTCTGAAATGGCTCTCTATAGTCTGCCTGTTCTCGGGACTTACGTTTTTACTTAGGCTGCTGACCAAAGGACGATCACATGACCTGTTTTGACACTACATCTTGGAAGAAAACCAGATGCCCGGTGCTTATTGTCATGTTGCTTGCTGTGTCTGTTGCTTTTATGTTATGCTGGATGTTTCTTTGTGTGCTGCTGCTGTGTTGATGATAAAATGTGATGCACGCTAACAGATTGACGCCATTTTTACAGGAAAAGACTGCTGCCTGCTCGTTCCTTGTTGTTTGATGTTATTGTTTAAATCCCTTTTTTTAAACATGGTCCGGAGTTTTGCCCATGCACTCTCCTCCACAGAGAAAAGGGGGGAACTGAATGCAAATCTAAGTCGCTCAGTGTTAGAGATGGAATGTAATGTGAACAACAAGTCTGTGTGTGAGATGTGTTATCAGACAGCCTGGAAGCTCAAGGTTGAAACTCATTCAGAGAGGCTGTTTTACACACACAGAGCAGAGTGTCACCCAGAATAGCGTGCCAAAATTTGTTTTTATTTACAGCGAAATGAGGGACGTGATCATATAATTGATTGAACTAACATCATGTGAAAGAATTACTGTCTTGTTGTCATTGTTGAAAGTTTTCCCTCTCCTAAACAGGAGCAGCGGCCAGAGCCTAATATCTAACACTAACCAATTCTTCTTCTTCCTTTTTAGTCTAGCCTTACTAGAAACCTACAGAGTGCTGGTGTTGTAAAACTGTAACTGTATCACTAATGAAATATTGTGGTGAAGCAAGACACTGGTTCATGAAAGGTTTCACAACACACCCTCACAACTTTTGTCAAACATGCTCAATCTGCCTAAGACACAACACAGGGAGGGGATTACAGGTTTCATTAGCAGCACATCCACCACCAGATGAACCGTTTAACCACCTTATGAGGGAGGTTTTTAGCTAAACCCAAGCAAAGGCAAAAAAGTACTGTTGATGATAGTTGATATGTTTCCAAAATGGATAGAAGTTTTTCCCTCTCCAGCAACAAAGCCGATGCAGTCTCCCGCCAGGAGGTTTTGTGGTGGTTGTGGAGGCTGAAAGAGCTACATGGATACATACCAGCCACTGCAGGAAGGTGCCTGCACCAGAACAGTAACAGATCAACAAGCGTGCACAATCAGCAACTGAACCACTGTTTTCCCTGACCTTGTGTTGTGAGTGAAGGAGGGATTGGGAACGCTTAGGCACCCTTTGTCTCGGACTCACAGGCTGTTAGACAGCAAACATCAACACAAGGGAGCTAGTGGGAAAACTCCTGGTCTCACCACTGCTGATTTAAGAGTGAGTAGCATGTTTGTCTCTGGAAGGAGACATCCATGGGACCCAGTCAGACACCCAGACATGTGTGGGCCTACGAGGAACAACACAGATGTTTGCTGCCATTGCAATAACATTAACAGTTCCTCTGTTGCAGTTCTTAGATCACAAGCATGATGCACAAAAGCCACCACAACAGAACACCACAGTGAACTACACACAGGCATTGACATCACATAGCAGTGTTAGAGGCAAGAGAAGCACCCAAAGAGGCTGGGATGCTTGGATAATTTTAATAACTCCTCTTGTACGTTTGTGCCCAACAATACAGCTCCAGATGGTTCAGTGACCCCAGTGCTGGAAGGAATGCGTTCGCTACGAGAAGAAGTTGCAGAGAACTCTGAAGTGGACACTAATATGTTTGACTGGTCTGATTCTGTATTTGCTAAATAAAAAGCCTTAGTGATGCCCATACTAGCAGGCCTAATGATTGCTGTAGCGCTGTTACCTCTCTGTGGATGTTGCATTATTCCATGTGCCAGAGGTTTGACTGTAAGAGCTATTGATAAATGTGTGTCTATTCAAATGATCACACTCCATGAACAAGTGAACATGCCATTGTTGCAGCAGCAGAACTGTGATGAAAGGAAGGACCCAGATTCGTTTTCTTGGTTAAACTGGTGTAGATTACATTATGATGCCTTTCTATGACCTGATGATCTTTTTGTAATGCTGTATATTCTTGAGTGACCAAAGAATGCTCACAAGGGAGGAGTATGTGATGGAAATTTGATATTTATGTTTACTGTTTCACCCTGCGTGCTTCATCAGAATAGACCAATGTGTCACTGTGTGGTATATGCAACACTGACATAAAATCTATGGTTTGAAAATCTGAGATAAGAACCATCTCATGTTGAAAGTACTTTATATTTAAATTTTAATCCTTGAAACTGTACTGAGTAATGTGGATTTGTACAAACTACATTTTAAATGAATTCATGAAAACACCCGCTTTCATTCTTTCATTCACACCTTGTTTATACCTGCATTTAGAAAGTTCTCTTAATGCAGCTATAAAGAGAAACTTTACAGTGTCTCTGCTAAACAGAGACTCTGTAAGGTGAGACTCAAGGAGAACAAGAAATTACCTCAGATATAATCCTGCACTGATAAAATGAAGGAAAATGCATCTTTGTTGGTAAAAAATAAAACTATCATGAAATATTATTTAATTTGAAATAACTTTTTTTATTTTCTTACAGTGTTAACAGCATGAGCATTATTGCATCAATGAAGCTTCACTACTTAAAGTTGAATATTGTTAATATGATCTGATGACAGAGTAACAGAGTACAGTCACTATAACAGAAATGAAAACAACAAATTTGAATGAACTGGTCTTTATTGTGTTGAAATAATCCAAATTAAATCCAGTAAACAAACTTTAACCATGAAACATGTGATTAGAGAATGACTTACGGAAAGAAAGAGACACAGACACAGAGAGAGTTACAGAGTTCAGAGAGCAGAGTAAAACCAGTAGCAGAGTCCCAGTGAGGTCAGGACTGGGAACACTGGTCTCTCCTCAGTGTCTCTGAGACCAGAGCCTGGGAGCCCTGGGTGGCCTCACAGGTCACAGAGCCCACCTTCCTCCACTGGTCTGCAGGGAGCCTCAGGGTGCTGCTCCAGCTGTAGCGCCCGTCCTTCTCCAGCACCCCGGGGCTCCTGCTCTCCTCCCAGCTGCTGCTGCTGCTGCTGCCGTCCACCTTCCAGGCCAGACTCCAGTCTGAGGGGAAGCCCTTGTTGGCCAGGCACATGAGCGTGGCCTTCCCCTGCTGCAGCTCCTCACTGGAGGGGGGCAGCACCGTCAGGGTGGGACGGACATCACCTAGGAGACACCAATCAGCTTAGAGGACACCTTTACTGTGTGAGAGCTGAGTTTCTCCTTTAAAGAGTTTCTGTCAGATGGTTTTTCTGCTCCACCAGTCACTCACTCACACATTGTTTCACTTCCCTTTAATAAGCCTCTCATGCAAATCAGCACAGAGAGAATCATCATACAGAACGACCTGAAATATATCAAACTACACTGGAAATAAATAACAAACTTTCTTATCAAGATCATGAAAAAAACTTAACTGTAGAATTATTTATTCAGTGGAAATCAATACAGAAATGAACTGACTACAATCACATGTTTTCAATCATCACCAAAGTGTTTCTTCAGTTACATTAACAGCTATAATGATGAGTTGAACCACTACATACAGTTTAAACGTCTTTGCTGTTCAAGTGCAAATTCAAACATACAGGAATCACTCCTCAGCTGTATCACTTTACTTATTGACAGAAAAATGGACAATTGCGGTAACAAACAAAAAGTGGTGCCACTTGTCCTTTCACTTTACCTGTGGAAATAAAGTATTCCTTTTCCTAACAATAACACATATAACAACATGCAACATTTTGAAATACCTGTTTTTATCTGCACTCTGTTCAATTTTACTTTAATCATAACAAAAGTCATACTGTGTTGGAAAATGTTAAAACTAATCTTGGCAAACATTTCAACATTAAGATTAAAGTTTCATCGTTTCTCCACTTCAACTTGTTTTAATTTCAGTTTGACAGGAATGTGTAAAGAAATGTTTAGTTAAGCTGCTCTGAGTTAGCCGCCAGGGTAAAGGAGGAAAAATAAAAACATGAACAATAAAATTTTATAATTGAAGCAAGATCTATTTATCTGTCTCAATGTTATTTCTCTGGCAATTCATTTTATTAAGACAAATGGCATTTTGAAACCTAAATCATGTTTTTAAAATGTCTTATCAATTCTCTAATAAAGTGATTGATCCATTGATAAACAGCATCATCAGAGTAATCCAAGTCCCTGCTGGAGTCAGTCAGAGCATTTCCATAGAGAGCCACTTTGCATCAGCAGCACCATGCTCCAGTGCTCTGGGAGAGTTTATAGTCCTGAGAGTTGAACACTGGATGACTGACAGCTGTCCTTCATGACAACAGAAGCCACAGAAATCCTCCTCATCAAAAACATGACTTTGATCTGCGTCCTCATCTGGACTCTCCTCTGCTGCTGCTTCACAGGTAAAGTCCAGAGAATCAAACTCCTCTCCTCTATGAACATCCGTCCCTCTGAAATGAAGCCCACAAAACCATGACGCTGCTTTATGTTTTTGTCTCTGTATCCTCAGAGTCCAGAGGCCAGGTCACAGTGACTCAGCCTGGAGCAGTGAGCTCTGCTCTGGGAGGCTCCGTCTCCATCAGATGTAGGACCAGTCAGAATGTTTATGTTTATAACAACAACCACTATTTAGCCTGGTACCAACAGAGAGATGGAGAAATTCCTAAACGACTCATTTACTATGCTAGCACTCGAGCATCAGGGATTCCAGGTCGTTTTACAGGCAGTGGATCAAACTCTGACTTCACTCTGACCATCAGTGGAGTCCAGACTGAAGATGCAGCAGTTTACTACTGTCTGAGTTATCATGCTATAAACAGTCAAGCTGTGTTCACACAGTGAAAAAGCGTCGTACAAAAACCTCCCTCAGTCACACTGAACAGAAACTGAAGTGACTGCTGCAGCTGGAAGCTACTGCAGAGACTGATACACTTCACTGAGGACACACACACACACACACACACACTTTCATCAAATAGATTGAACATTTCAACATGTTTGAACTAACCACCTATGTACATGTATCACTACAAGTTCAATGATTAAAAATATCTTAGTGCAAATCAAATAAATTTCTCCATCACAGCTTCTCACTATTCATCCATATCTCATTATAATCCCATTGTCTTGTCTGGTTTACCAATTAATAAAAAGAGCCAAACTGGGACAGTTAATGAGAAATGTATCGGTCATCACCTTTGTTCTCAGCCTCTCACTGGATCACAGCTTTTTCAGCTATTTTCAGTTAAAATAAAATATGAACAGAGATCAGCACCAGAAACCTTCATAACCAAAGATAGCAGAGCAGGACAGAGAGGGCAGATGTGAAGAACAACATGTAGCACAGACTTACTGCTTCTGTTAAAATGGCTTCCTTTCACACCAGCTCCTACCTGCTTTAGGATAACAGATAAACACTGTCTGGTTGTACTGACAAAACTAACAGATATGTTCTGTACATGGTCCTTAATGCCTTTTTTTATTATCCCCTGATCTTTTAAAATACTAGTTATCTGACCCTGTGGTAAACCCGGTCTCTAATGGAATGTGATTATTAAAAAACAAAGACAGTAGTTATTCCTGTAATTGGACACCACTGATGAGATGATAAGGTCTTTATTTATATTTTATACATACACAGACTGAGTTGTCATCCCTTTCATTGGACCTGTTATTTAAAACATTCCTGGGGTTAAAATCTCACAGTCATGTTGTATCACTTTATGCTGATTATTTCCTGCTCTTTATTTCTGTTGCTAAAAATAAGATTCCTGATATTCTTAAATTTATTCAGAGACATAAAAATTACCATCATTTCTGGTTACAAATTAGGTCTAAACAACATATAAATCTTCATTAAGAGGAATCTCCTGTGATACGAGATAAACGGTGGATTTATATTAACATGCTTTATATTTAGTGGTACCCCAGTTATTAAAGTATGAACAAGTGAAAGCAGTATTTGATGAGATTTTTTATTGTGTTGAACTATTAAAACCACCAATAATACAACAGGCAAGAACACTTAATGTTAAAAACGTGTAAAGGGAAAAAGACAGAACCAAAGAGAGATGTGAAGTTTTCATGAATTTGGATAAAACGTCTCGGGTTACGTATGTAACCCTGGTTCCCCGAGAAGGGGAACGAGACACTGTGTCAGTTACGACACTATGGGAACGCCTCTAGGCGTAGCAGGTCTGAACATGAATGAAATCACTCCAATCCTATTGGCTTGTTGCTAGAACGGTAAGGTGTGACGGAATAACCGAAGGAGTATAAAGCACACCTGTACACACTTATCATTAGCTTAAACTATGAAGCAGGCGCTTCAGGCGGCGAGAGAGGTGCGGCGGGCCGACGCAGTGTCTCGTTCCCCTTCTCGGGGAACCAGGGTTACATACGTAACCCGAGACGTTCCCCTTCGAGGGAACTCGAACTGCATCGGTTACGACACTATGGGAACGAGATACCCACTAAACCGTGCCGAAAACCCCGCCTGCCCCTGTGTGCAATAAAGTGGCACGAGAGGAGAGCGCACAAGTGCCAGGTGCTGAAGGAAGGTCAAGACTGTAAAACCGAATGAATGTGTGCGGAGTGGCCCAGCCAGCCGCTAAACAAACATCCTGCAAAGAGGCCCTGGAAAGGAGGGCTCGAGAGGCCGCCATGCCTCTGGTAGAATGAGCCCTCACAGCCACAGGTGAAGGCAAACCGCGCACCTGATAGGCCAGGGAAATAGTCTGAACAATCCAGTTGCTAATAGTATGTTTGG